AGGAGACTCACTTGAGCCCAGGAGTTGGAGGTTGCTGTGAGCTGTGATGCCATGGCACTCTACCCAGGGGGATAGCTTGAGGCTCTGTCTCAAAAGAAAACCCTTAGAATTCCCTCTGGAGTGATAACAGTGTCTTTTATATGTTAATGAGTTGACTGTAGGATGGCAACCCCTAGTTAGCTTCAGGGTGAGGGCTGGTCACTGAAAAGCCAAGGCAGGATTAGAGGGTTGGGACTTTCAGCCCCTCAAAGCCTCCCAGTAGAGGAGAGGAGCTGAAGGTTGAGTTGATCACAAATGACCAGTATTTTAATCAATCGTGGTTACACAATGAAGCCTCAATAAAAATCTAAAAGAATTGGGTTTAGAGAGCTTCTGGACAGCTGAACACTTGAATGTTCCTGGATGATGGCTGAGTCCAGACAGGGCATGAGAACTCTGTGCACCTTGCCACATACCTTGCTCTGTGCATCTATTCCATCTAGCTGTTCATTGGTATCCTTTGCAATATCTTTTATAGTAAGTGAGTAAATATAAATAAAGAGTTTCCCTGAGTTCTGTGACCCAAATTAATAAAATCTGAGGAGGGGGTCATGGGAACTCCTGATTTACAACCTACTACTGTGACTGGAATCTAAAATAAGGGCAGGCTTAGCACCCATAACTCAGTGGTTAGGGTGCTAGCCACACACACTAGGGCTGGTGGGTTCGAACCTGGCTCAGGCCTGCTAAACAACAACAACGAAATAGCTGGGTGTTGTAGCGGGCACCTGTTGACCCAGAGGCTGAGGCAAAAGAATCGCTTAAGCCCAAGAGTTTGAGGTTGCTGTGAGCTGTGACGCTATGGCACTCTACCCAGGGCGACATAGTGAGACTCTGTCTCAAAAATAAATAAATAAATAAAGTCTGAACATGTTTTAGTCAAGAAATCCAACTGCCAAGAAGAACCTTCATAAAAACTGTACTGCTGAGCAGATACATAGAAAGTCTGGTTCATGAGGCACTATTTATAAGAGTAAAAAAGAAAAAAAACCTAATAATATGCTTTGGATGTCTGATCCCCCTCCAAATCTCGTATTGAAATTTGATCCCCAATGTCGAATAAGGGGCCTGGTAGGTATAAGGTGTTTGGGTCATGACGGCAGATCCCTCCTGAGGGCTTGGTGTCTTTCCTGAAAAAAAAAAAAAAAAAAAGAGAGAGTTCTTACTTTATCAGTTTGTGGGAGAGATGGTTATTTAAAAGAGACAGGCACTAGCTCCTCCTCTTGCTCCTGCTCTCTGCAAGTGACATGCCTGACCTCCCTTCACCTTCTGCCTTGATTGGAAGCTCCCTGAAGCCCTCACCAGAAGCAGATGCAGGTAAAATGCTCCTTGTACAGTCTGTAGAACCACGAGCCAAATAAACCTCTTTCCTTTATAAATTACCCAATCTCAAGGTATTTCCTTCATAGCAATGCAAAAAGAACAAACATACCTAAATATCCCTGAATAAACAGTTAAATGATACACCCACATTATGAAACAGGAATTGAAATCATCTTTATATACCAGGAACACCAACCAGAATATAATCACGTGAAAAAAGCAAGATGGGGCGGCACCTGTGGCTCAACGGAGTAGGGCGCCAGCTCCATATGCCAGAGGTGGTGGGTTCAAACCCAGCCCTGGCCAAAAATCTGCAAAAAAAAGAAAAAAGCAAGATGGATATGGGAATATGATGCCATTTGCATAAAAACATATAAAACAATACATAAGTTTTTAGTTCATTAACACTGACATTCATTGACATAAATGCAGCTACACTATGATTTTCACCAAATTGTTAACAGTGGACATCTCTAAGGAGAAACGTGGTACTGGGGGGAGAAGAAACAAAGACTTTTTGACCACTACTGTTTATGTGCAAATTAAAATATTACACATGAATTTATTATCTAACACTTAATAGAAAGGGGAAAAAGCAAGATGAGTTGATCTAATTAAAAAATCATCTCTGAAAAGGAAAAAAAGAAAAGATGAGATGCAATTCCCAGAGAAACAAGTAGACAGAGGTATCTTTTGTTTGTTTGTTTGTTTTTTGAGACAAGAGTCTCAAGCTGTTGCCCTGGGTAGAGTGCCATGGTGTCATAGCTCACAGCAACCTCCAACTCCTAGGCTCAAGAGATCCTCTTGGCTCAGTTTTTCTATTGGCTCGAACTCTTGAGCTCAAGCAATCTACCCACCTCGGCCTCCCAGAGTGCTAGGATTACAGGCGTGAGCCACTGCGCCCAGCCTTCTTTTATTTGTTTTTATTCTCTCCTAGTGAGGAGAAGGACCAGAGAAACTAGAGGTTGGTAACAGGTTGAACAGAAAATAGTCAGAGAAGAGGGAATAACTGGTTTTTTCAAGCTTATTATACAGATTCCTAAAACTTGCCTCAGGAAACTGTAAACAAAGTAGGGGTAAAGCAGGCAGAAACTCACATGGGATTTGTCCATCTTCTTCTGTCCTGGAGGAAGGATACAGATCTACAAAGGCAGAATTATGAGGCTCGGCGCCTGTGGCTCAAGTGGCTAAGGCGCCAGCTACATACACCTAAGGTGGCGGGTTCGAATCCAGCCAGGGCCCACCAAACAACAATGATGGCTGCGACCAAAAAAAAAAAAAAAATAGCCAGGTGTTGTGGTGGACACCTGTGGTCCCAGCTACTTGGGAGGCGGAGGCAGGAGACTCACTTGAGCCCAGGAGTTGGAGGTTGCTGTGAGCTGTGATGCAACAGCACTCTACCCAGGGGGACAGCTTGATTCTTTGTCTCAAAAAAAAAAAAAGGTAGAATTATGAGAGTACATTGGGTTGATATAGTCATTACATCAT